GAGATCAGATGGTATGAACGAGAAAGCATTTGCACTTCGCTCAACTGCTTCTACGAGAAGGAATTCCCGAGGCGGACGATCGTGGTGGATCGCGCCTCTTTAATTCCATCGTTTGGTTACACTTTCAGCCTCGTCTGTCACACACCATTGCAGTAGATTGCACCGCAATTTGTGTGCATTCCTATCTCCCTCTCTTATTCCTTCCCCACTCTTTTTCTTTCTCTTTTTTTCTCTCTTTCTCGGCGACTCGACGGAAGGGCGCGTCGTACGAAAACTGCCCCGCTCTCAGCGAGGAACAAACATGTGTGAAGAGCAGATGCGGGGGTTTTCCTAGTGGCGAACAGTGAGGGGTGAGAAAAGAGTAGAGAAAAAGAGAGAGGAAAAGAGAAACAGAGAGAGAGAGAGAGAGAGAGAGAGAGAGAGAGAGAGAGAAAGGCGGGGTGCTCGCAAAGTGGGGGAAACTGGACTGCAACGAAGAAGGAATGAGGGAGGATGGCGGAACACAGCGGAACAGCGGCTGGAGTAATGTGCAGAATAGTGGGGTAGATCCTATCACTGCGCGCGAACAGCTTGCCTCGAATGCGCGTTTCGCCAGTTCCGACAAGGCACAGCTCGTCCTGAGACAGGATTTCGCACCTGACACCTGAGGTACCTTCTGGAAACACCAGACTTCGGAATTAGACAAGTAATGGATAAACGAGACAAATCGTCGCAGGACGAGTAGTTGCACACTCGGAGGTCGCGCACCTTGAGCTCTTGTATTCGAAGCACTATTGCGATCGATTGCAGTGGACTGAACAACGTCTGGCCCGTCAGATCAAATCAATCCGATGTTTCGGTAGCGAGAAAGGATATATCGGATCATTCTTTTAAGAAGCTATTCTCACCCGCTGCACCGGATACCACAAGGTGGAGATACGAGCGTCTAGATCCGCGGCCGTAACAAGAAGCAAGGAAAATCATATATCACTCTTTCTCACCCTTTCTTCTTTCTCTTTCTTTTATGTAGGAATCGACGCAGATGCCACGAATGCCCGACGTCGTCGTTCTCATCCCGTCCGCGGGAATCTGCGTCCCGTTCAAATTCATTGCCATGAGGTGGGCGAGGATGAAGGTGGAAATCTCGTAACAGATTTGTCGCGACAGAATGGGAAGGGGTAGAACGTGCGAAACGCGGTGGGGATCGGCAGGACCGAATTGAGACAGTTCGGATCCTAGCTCGAGATGAAGAGGCTTTATCTCGACGGAGAGTCTGATGTCGGAGAGACTCGTGAGGATTTTCTGGAATTTATAAAAGTAACACAATCTTTACCGGATCTGACCAGATCTTAAATAAACGGCAGTATTTACAATCTCATTGTGAGTCGGAAATCTTTAATTAAGAAGTAGATCTCCACTTAAGGAAGTCTTAAATGAGAGAGTTTCTTCACTGAAAGATTAACAACTTCTTTGTCTAACCAACAAGGGCTGAAACTCCTCACGATGTCTTCTAAACTAGGAGACAGCAGTTACGCGTTCCGTGAAGTTACCGGCGACGTATCGGAGGGGGTAATCCGCCCCTGGGGGTGAAAACGTCGAGAACGACGGCGTTAGTGTTGGAACGAGCTCGCGCAGAAGCCGCTCGATAAAGGCCGTTCTCACCCTCTAACTCCCGTTCTTTCCCTCCCGTCCCTCGACCCTGTCCTACAAACGAGAAATCTAGTGTAGTAGAACTCGCACAACGGGCTACTGGGCTACGCTTGCGTCGTGGCCGAACATCGATGTGTATACTTGTATAGAGTACGACGCAATCCTGAATGAGCTCGCATATCCTATCGAAACGCATTCTTCCTGCTGCTAGTAGTGTATCTTGAAAAAGCGAGGAGGTGGCGTTGAAAGCGAGAAATATTTCAAGCATTTCCATTAAATAAGATAATATAATTTCTCCTTTTATAATTTCCTCATATTTATATAATTGCAATTACAATAATAACGTTTTCATCCATAATAACGTATTCTCTTATTTGATATATAAACCAATATTTGTTTCCTTTTACCTGATATTTATTCGATATTTATCCTATGTTTGCTAATGATGATAAAATGCAATATTCACTTGTTCCAACATAATTCCGAAGAGAATGTTGGAAATCACGACAATGAGACCATGTTGCACACGAAAAAGCCAATGGGTCTCAATTTTGCGTTGAAATTGATGTGCGCGTGTGATATCATTCTGATAACTATCTCGATACCCGCGGGTGAATTAATGTCAACAGGGATCGATTGGTCCAGCGTCCGGTTATAGCCCGCTATCAGTTGCCGTATATATTCATTCGCCGTATATTCGTAGTAAATATATTTACATCCCGGGACGTAAATACATCTCCGTCTTCATTACGCGTTATATCGATGTCGAGACCGCCACCACGGGGCGTAACGTAATAATAACGATGTATAATTTGCTGTACACGCTAATTTCACCTCGTTAATGCGTCAATGTGAAACATTATACTTGACGGCTCGAACGGGGAAAGGCATCATGTTAGCATGATTTAAAAGAGGAACAGAAGAAATATTCATCTCGTCGTCATCGTCATTTCACTCATCGTTATTGTAGACATAAATATCCACTTCGTTAAAATAGATGCAGCTTGATGTGGATTTTCGAAATTCATTTTAAACTCGGCGTAAAATCTATCCAATCCGCATACAGAAATACAAAAATAGGTCGATCTCATAAAGCGAATATTTTAAGAAATCTAAAATATTTTTCTTATACTGCTGTAAAAAATAATTTATCATATTCTCGCGTTTTATTCTCGAGATTCTCAAGACTGATATTTTTGAAATAATTTTAGAATAGGAGGAGAATGCAAAACAATTCTCTTTAAGCCTGATTATTTTTATCCCGAATGAATTTCGCATATAATAATTTGCTGCGTTCGGTGATCGATCTAATAATACATTACGTGTATATACATGCACATTGTAGTACGTCACCTTGTGTGTTCGAGCAATTACGTCGATACATTTCAAAATTATAACTGCTATTTATTACAAAAAATTGCTATATAGAAAAAATATAAACATAGAATATTTTATTTACAGTAAGAATATATAACTCTGCTTCATACATATAAATATAATACTTAATAACATCCGTAACAAATAATAATCTATCTATTTACTCTTTGATACCTTCATTTTATACATTGAAATTCATTTTTATCTTTCATAAATAATACAATGTATTTCCGACGTAAAGACATAATAAATATATCTGTCGATGTCAATAATACAAAAATGGAAATAATCGTACCGTTGTGACATCATCGCTTTTGCTCAGAATATAAAAGTGTCCATCGTCAGCTATTGATGTTTCAATTTTTCCTCGATGGCGGATGCGCTTTTTTCAGCGGGAACATTGCAGATCAACATCAAGCCGAGAAGTACCAAGGAAGTTCCGCACCACCAGGTCAATGAAGTGGATTCATCAAATACGATGTAGCCTACGAACGCCTTCGAGAAGGATATTTATAAAATTAGCATTTCATAATATGATCAAGATTTTTAATATTTTTACAATTAAATTATGAAAATTCACAATTAAACTGTGCTTGAAAAAATATTTCACGAGTATAAATGAAAAAAAAAAGTGTAAAAAACGTGGCAGATGTAAATTATAAAAAACATTGAAAATGTTATATACGTATGTTTTTCACTAATTTTGGCCAAATTTTTTTTATTATTACTATTGCACCGAATTATAGATTCATCATGCAAAAAGAAAGTCTTCTATTGTTTTCGCACTTAAAAATTACCTATAAATAAATATAAAATATTGGAACTCAATGTGATCAGCAAGCCACGTGTTTCATATAAGATAATATATAGGACAAACTATAGATATGGATATAACTTCATTTTTATTTCTTGAGGTTCACCAATTGATGACGTTCTTAAGTTTAAAAGTACAGCTATGTATATCCTCGCAAACCCAAACTTAATTTCATAAATACTTAATTTCATGCCGACGTAATCGATATATATACATATATATCGTTTTACTTATAGTTATCGCGCGAACGAATTAAATCAATTTTCACGGAGAATTACAAAAGAATTCTGTCGTGACGTGTAAAACGATTATATTTCTGATCATTTTTACTTAATAAACTAATGAGAAATCTTGCTAATATTTCACGTTTAGAAAAGGAAAGAATAGAAATATTCGCGAAATGATATATAAACGTCATTATTTCTATTATTCTATTAATAATTCTTGCGCAGTGCGTAATTTCCCAGTGTGTAATATACTATTATCGAGATTGCATTTCAATAGCGTGTATCATATCATACAATTCTCGTTCAATCGCCATGTACCTGTGCACATATAATTGCTATGACCGCATTGTACACACTCGTGGAATTGCGTCTAGTTTGCGAAACAACTTTCACTCTTTGCGAACCGACTCTCGGAAGTATATCAGACCACCGGCTATAGACAAATAATTGCTACCGACAAATGTCCTTCGGCAGATTATTTCCCTACTTCATTTTATTCCATTACCAATGTTAAAACTTTCTCGAAAATATATCTTGCCAGATATTTCACGGCGATCTCATTTCTTTCTGTGATAAATACGATGGATGATCGTCCTGTCGCGACCTTAATTTCATTGGTGATAGATTTTCCAATTTGAAGAAGATTTTTTCTTTACAAAAAGGCATGTTTTAGTAACTTTCTAATTTTCAATTTCAGTATTTTTATAAATCACGAAAATTAAAATTTCGTTGAAATAGAATTCTATTAAAATTTAAGAATATTATTATTATATCATTGATTTATGGTTTTCTAAATAAAAATTATTGTATCTCTTTCAATGACAAGTTTTTAAATTTAAAGTCGAATTTTTTTTTTTTGATGCAAAGTTAGCTAAAATTATAAAGAAAAAAGTTATATCAATGATATAATTTTTTTCTTTTTTCTTTACAATTTCATTATGTGTCATTATAATGATTGCGAATTAAAATTGGGATAAAATTCTTTGAAACTTCAATTGAGTAATTACTAACTATATTAATCATGACATTTGTGTGAAGGCTCCTAAAGTTTAATTTTCAAAAAGTTTTTTTTCTTTACTTATTACTTCAAAATAATTACTGATGCCAGGGGATTTTCGTTAATCAAGTTTAAGTTCATTGAAGAATTTAACCTGAGATTAAAATCTCACGAGAGTGAGATCGCGTTAAACCGTGTTATCTAAAAATATTATTTACGAGATTAATTATAAGATTTAACAACTCACCGAACAAATATAGTTTGTGGCTGCACTGGCGATCGTTATCGGCAAAGAAGATCCGCTAGCATGAAGCGCTTTGACAAAAAACGTACATCCTATGGTGTTGCACACGATCATGAAGATGAGAAGTACTCCTTTTAGAAACAACGATGACTACCGCAAAAAGAAAGTAAACATGTGAACATTATATTTTATATCTTTATATTTTAACTTTTTATTATTAGTTTTAGTGTTAAACTTCTAAAGTTTGATCTATTTTTAATTTCTTATTGTTAACTCGTCATTTTCACTTATTTATCAATTTAGATGCATATATTTTTTTCTTGTTTCCTTTTCAAATATTGTTTAAATATTGTTCAAATATTGTCCAATTTGTAAATGCACACAAAGTTATTAAAATTATTATTAAAACACACACACACACACACACACACACACACACACAAAATAGTTAAAAGTTTTATGTATATAAAAATACATTTCTTATTATTATCAATACAAATAAATGAAAAAAGTGATATTTAATGAAAATGATCTTGCTACCTAGTGACACTTTTATGTGAATTTTACAATTTCCAGTTTAAACAAACATATTATATTTATATCAATTAAGATTTGTTTTGATGAAGAATGGCCTTCTTCGTTCGTTTGCGTTAAATATTTCTCGGTGAATTTTTTTTTAAATATTCTTATTATATAATACTTCGCATAGAAAAAATATTAGTATGCATTGCTATAAACACGTTGTACAAATTAAAAATCCTAAATCCTTTAACCAGGGTTGGTAAGTTAATTTTTTTTTAATTAAGTTAAGATAAAAGTTAATCAATAGTGACATTAATTGAATTAAAAATTAAGTTAATGAAAAAAGTAATTAAAAAGTTAAAAATTAAATTTGTTTTATTTCATGATTTCAAGTTAATTTTTCTTTTAACTAAATTAAAAAACTAAGGTAAAAAGTTAACTTTTTTTAACTAACAACGAGAGACACACATATGTATTTCATGAATTTTGATCATTTGCTTTTACGTGATTATTCTAGAATACCAAAAAATAATCCTTATAAAACAGTAAATTGCACTTCTTCATATTTTTCGAGAAAATCATGATTTTATCATCATGATCATGACGATCGCTTTCAAATTTTTTTATTCTTTGTTTAAATGAAATATTTAAAATTTATTTAAAATTAGAAAAATAAATCTCTGACGAACATGAATATATTATAATCCACGAATATATTATAAAGAATAGGGATCTGTATAACGCCAATTATCCAATCCCGATGTTAACCTTTAAATAACTAAATTAAAAGTTAAAAGTTACTGTAAAAGTTAAAATATAATTATGTAAAGTTAAAAAGTGAAGAGTTTAAAATGTAACTAAATGAAGTTAAAATTAATTCATTTTTTAACTTTTTAATTTAACTTTTAATTTTTTAACTTATCATTACCCAAAAAATCTTGCTCTTAACCATTAATTTTTTCTTCTAAAAACTAAATTTTGTAAATAAAAAAATCCGCAATCTAAAAAATCCACCAGAATTTTAATAAATCAGAGATTTTTTAAAAGTAGATTATGTTGAAAAATAAAACGAATTTTGAGATATTTATCACTTTGAGCGTCGAATTACGCTCAGTGCGATTGACTTGCAATAGATCCGAGTTCGCTCGCATACGCGATTTTTCACATTAAGGAGCTGAAAATGACTCCATCTGATAATTATGAGATCACCAGCGCCGTTCGGTTCATTGCCATTGGCAGAGGATTGGTGCTTCAGAAATTTAGCAATCCTTGTGATGAGACACAAAAGCAAATTTCAACATAGGACGTCAAAAATGGTCATAAAAACGTTTATATATATCCAGTGATATTATTATCGTGACTCGGAAAGATCTATACATAATACATATATTAGTGAATATATACGGAGGTATTACGATCGCCTTTATTTATTAGAACTATGCTGGAATTTGCGCCCCATCACAAGAATTGTTAAGTCTCTGAAGCACGAATCCTCTGCCAATGGCAATTGGCACTGGTAATCAAAAATCTCATAATCACCAGATGAAGTAGTCATTTTCGGCTCCTTAATGCGAAAAATTGTGTATGTGGGTGCAAGTGGGATCGAATCCACTGGATCTACAAATTGCGAATCAATCGTACTGAGAGATAAGCTACTCGACGCTCAAAGCGATAACTATCTCTAAAATTCGTTTTATTTTTCAACATAGGCCACAGTCAACGCGATGCTGCAAACGCTTTGAAGCGTTTTTTAACTGGTCAGTTTATAAAATTTTTTCTTCTAATTGGTCCATCAAATGCTTCAAAGCATTTGTGAGACTTTGACCATAGCCATAGTCTCTTCCTAAAAAGTCACTGATTTATCAAACTGCCCACATAGATTGCGGATTTTTATTTACAAAATTTAGCCAACTAAAAAAAAAAGAATTTCCACTAATTTGCAACACAGGAATACAATAAATTTTATATATTTTTTTAATAATATATTTGACGCTTAATGCAACATATTACATTTTCTGGCTTTAGTTTATGAAAAATATTCTGATTATGTCTTCAATCGTTAGGACTGTTAAGATCGATTACATAATCAAAACTATTCACCAATTCTTTTTCAATTGATATCATAGCTAAATTGCAAGACCGCGTCTGTGTCATTGTATTTTCCAGATAATTTTTTATTATTTTTAATTTTTAAAAAGATGCCCCTGCAAAGTTGCCACAGACAGTTGGTACAGTTAATAAGATCTGTAACGCTCTATTCCTAAATTTGAAAAGATTTCCAGAAAACCACTTTTAGCTAATTCATTTAAAATATCAAAAGAGCTTTATATTTATAATAGTAACGCTGCCTATTAAAATTTTGCAATCTCTCCAAATTTTGCGCTCTACGTTGGAACGTACCTACTCAGCGTCTCCGGATCTTTCTCAAAAAAAAAAAAAAGAAAAGGAAAATAAAAAGAAGACACTCATAAAATTACATATTTCGCCCTGTTCACCGACGATTCGAATCGGCCGCCAACTCACCAATGACGATGCATCAGCGCCACCGGCGAGCTTGCCGAGAAGACTACCACTGGTCGCAAAAATGCCAGCAATAACCGCGAGATGCGCTCCACTGCCGGCGCCACCACCGCGTTCTTCCATATCGGTAAACAATGCACGTGGATGTCCGGAATGTCCGGATTCCGGATGTTGACAACGTCACGTCGACGAGATTAGACAAAGTTGATCAAGCTCGGCGGGAGGCGACGTCCAAGGTCGTCGTTCGCAGCATGGCGTGGCACTGCGAATGGAGAACCGGTGGTAAACGGTACCGTGCCGTCGCCGCCGTCGCCGTCGCGAATGATAAGATTCGTTCTTATCTGCTCGCGACCGCGATCAAGATCACTTTTCTATGCAACGATGAGGCAAATATCGAGTGCGATCGTACGATGTCACGACCAGGAATGACGGTAAATTCGCGGATGAGTCATCTGAGCACGCGCATGATCGATGATGAGGGCGCACGACTTCAAGACTTCAAACGTACGAATCGATCTTAATTTATAGAAAATGAAAAAAAGATTTGTATTTTATTTTTATTAACACACACCTCGATTTGGAATACATAGATTTCATTGCGAAACTTGAATCGCGAAACAATTATGTAATTAATGCACGTCTCTCAGTCGGCATTGTCATTCTTAACATTCCGACGTAATGCACATTAAAGATGTCCTTCACGGATTGATGTAAAAATGTGTGTTTAATACCCGTTTCTATCAGTGTAATTTAATTTTTATTTCAATCTAACTACACTGAGAGAAATGTTTGATACTATTACTATCTATTTGATATGTGTTGATATATATGACTAATTAATTAAAATTCTTACTTTTTCATGTTATACTAATCAAGTTTATGGTACTAATTAAAATTACGTAATGAAAATTTAATGAAGAATTAAATGTTTTTAATACGATTTAAATCCCATTTGATTCATTGTGCCACATTAGGCATTCGAGATTGTATGAATTAAAATTATCTGACTAGTCGAATTTTTAATTTCTAATATAATCTCCATTTCTACTCTAATATAAATCAACTTTAATCTCGATTTAATTTGTTAATATTTTTTTACCTATCTTCTTCTGTTTCTAAAAATCAGAAAAAGATAAAGAGTAGATTAATTCGAGATTCAAGTTAATCTACATTTGTCGAAATGATAATTCATAATCCGTAATCTCGAATGCCGAATGCGTAATCAGTAATGTAATCCGGGCTCAAAGTACGACACCTAAGAATTTAAGTCAATTTGAAAATCAGCGGAGCGCGGCAGACTCACGCTTCGTCGATCAGTTCGTCCGGACCGAGAATTCCAAACGATGTGAGAGCATCGAGAGGACTCCCCGCTTATCGACCAGCTGGCGCATAACGCAAAACGGTTACGCAATAACGTTATTCCACGGGCGAGGTGGAAGTGGCGCAGCCGTGATTGCCGTGAGTATTGAGCCGATCGGCACCACAGCGCGCGTTAGTGTTCGCCGATCGCCGGCGACTGGCGAGCATGCGCCAAGCGCCTTCATCTCGTTCGTTCGTTGACGATTCGAGCGAGCTGAAGCGAGCCGCGACTACTACGAGTCCGGCGAGACCAGTCGCTCGTGGTCGCTCGATCCTCCTCGGGTGAAGGGTGGCGAAGGGCAGCGCGTGGCGAGGCCAGGCGAGACTAGCCGAGGACCGAAACAGGTGAGGCGAGGCGTGCGCGGGCGCGATCTCTCGCAGGTAGTTTAAAAATGGCGACCGACAGGTAGACGTTTCCGCGGCTGCACGCGCTGGCAGGCACGGGGGAACGCGTTATGCGCGCGAGGCAAGCGTATTTTCTGACCACCGGCCACACAGTGATCACAGTATCTTATCCCGCGAGACCGGAGACGACGTTAACGCGCACGCTCGCTCGCGGATTATGTCGTAGATTACAGTATTACATCGCGGTAGGCGCGAAGCGCGACGTGAATGAATCGCCCCGCCGTCACCACTGTGCGTCCGAGTTCGAGTCCGAGTCCTCGGTCCGACCGCCTCGTCCTCGTCGTCGTCGTCGCTCGTTACATTGCGCTGCAGCGATCGAATCGAGATCGCCAAGGAAATAAGGGAGAGAAGGAATTAGGAAAGCGGATCATACGCACCGCAACCACCGCAACTACCGCGTGTCGAGCCACGCGTTTAACGTAAGTAAAAAGAGAGATTTAAATATATAAGGAATAAGAGAGAACTGCGCTCTATACTGGTCTCTCGATTTTCGGCGCATCGCTCGATTGCGCTGATCCTCGTGTCTGTCCCCCGCGACAATTAAAACACCTCTCCCTTCCCCTTTCTACCCGGAGCCTTTCTCACGTTCCCGTGAGATCCTGCGCGATACGCCGATACGCGCCGCGCGTCCTGGCCTTGATCACGCAAACGGCTTCGGTTGCCCTCCGAAACACTCCGAAAGCCGAGCGAATGTAATTGGCAGGAAGTCAAGTCCATCCTGCCTCGACGACGTGCTCCACCGTGTTTCCGATCACCTCCGTACGTGAACGCGGTGACACGAGGAGGAAGGTACGAAATGAATTCCGGCGAGACGGAATATTGTTTTGCCGACTACCTTTCAACGGTGATTGTGCGCGAAATAACGTGCAACCAGGCGCCAGGCTCGATCTACGATCACCAAGTATCCTTCTATACGTCTCTTACGCACCTTTCGTCTCGTTAGATTGACTTAGAAATCATGCAATTGATTCGAATTGGAGAATCAAGTGCTCCTCTATCTTAATAGTTTTCTAAAAAAAAAAAATACATCGTTTTAATCTCTATATCCATAAACAACTTCGACATTTATTTCTTCCCGTTTGATTGTAGCGACTTTCTTTTGAAGAAGGACAAGCGTGATGTTTATGTCTGTTTTTAACAATGTAATTTAATCTCAGTGTAATTAACTCTTTATCTTTTTCTCTCTAGTTTTAAGAATTAGAAAAAGATGAAGAATAAGTTGAAACAAGATTAAAGTAATCTATATAGAAACTGACATTATCGAGACTTATGTGCAGCTAGGCTTCCGGTTTTTTTATAAACTGTTTCTGAGATGTAAAACTTTGTATACCGAGATTATAGAATGTTTAAATATGTACATTCTTGATCTAATGACGTAATGTATTATCTGAGATTAAGAACAGAATTTATTGCGGATGTGTCACAGATACATATAGTCTATATATACTTAACAAAGATTTTCATTATATTATCAAAGCGAATATATATAGAAACATTTCAATAACTTATTTTTAAAATATTACATTGTTATTCTATGTCTAAAGATATCTCTTTATATACAAAATTCTCAAAGTAAATTATCAATCTTTTTCTTAGGAAATATTTTTAGAAATACAGTCAAAAGTTTTAAAGGGACAGTTTTAAATTAAATCATTGCTCATTACTATTTATAAAAAACTTTTTTTTAGCAGCATTGTTGGCATGAACATTTGTGCAAATATTTACTTAAATACTTGATGAAGTTTGAGAGAACATCTTCAATAAAATATGCCATCATTCCCTCTAGATATAATTCAAGGATCAATTAAGCTACGTTATTGAAATGTGTTATTGAAATAAGTGAAAATCAGAATGACATTCAGTGTTTTTAATAAAAAATTTTTAATTATCTGAGACCTTGGCTTTGTAGGAGTAAAAATAAAACTGAAATTGCATTATTTTTTCAATTTTATGATTATCTTCTCAAATATGTTAATAATATATTAATTAAACAAAAACTTTAATGTATGCTACAGTTGATAAAGTCAAATGTGACAAGCATTTATGACACGTACGTTTATTCTGGAACAAATTATTTTATTCTCTTGATACATTTGTATAAAAAAGCATTATGTATATGTATATATAAAATACTAACTGTTATATTAACATTTCGTGATGTTTTCTTGTTTCTCTTTTGCATGAACAGATAAATATATCTGCAAAAATTACAAGCATATAACAATGGAACACTCCGAGTTAGTGGCAGAGATGGTACACGTTGAAAGACTAACCACGCAAGAACGGTTACACTTGGCACGTCATCGTAGACTTCAACAATTAAAAGTATGGAGGCAACGTGAGAAGGAATGGCTGCGACACCAAACTAGGCATACGAGTAATAAACGTCATATATACTTTAGCGATAGTGTTATGTTGTTAGAAGCTGCAGCGAGGAATGACATTGATGAAGGTAAGAAATTTTGTATACATATTGTTTGGAACGTATACATCTATATGTTGGAGACTTACCACATTGTCAACATTTATCTCTTTCTAGTAAGAAGACTTTTGAAGAAGGGTGTGAATCCTGACTCAACGAACGAAGATGGTTTGACAGCACTGCATCAATGTTGCATAGATGATAATGAGGAAATGATGAAGCTACTCATTGAATTTGGTGCTAACGTGAATGCGGAAGATAGTGAGAAATGGACACCGTTACACGCTGCTGCTACGTGTGGTCACTTGCATTTAGTCAAATACCTCATTGCCAGAGGTGCGAATTTATTAGCAGTTAATGCAGATGGCAATATGCCATACGACATTTGTGAAGATGAGAAAACGTTGGATTGTATCGAAGGTAATAGATTATTAAATTAATATTTTGTTAATGATTTTGTAATGTCTCGCCAGATGGCGAAAATTAAGATACCTTCTGCTTTCATACTCTTATTCTTTTTACTAATTTTGCTCAAAACAGTTTAATCTTTAAAATTCTTATTCTTTTTAATCTACAAAACAATATTACTTTTGATTTTAATTTTTCCTACCAAATTAAATCTCTTCATTTCACGAGAAATATATAGAATGAGGACTGGGATTGAACTCGAAATTCGCAGATTATTAATCATTCGTACTGACATCAAATCAATGCGTTATCCCTAGTATTTTGTTGATTGAACAAGACATACAGTACAAATAATAATATGATGTATTTACATAAATTATTTTTAACGCAGGAGAGATGGCAAGGCGAGGAGTCACTCAAGAATTAATAGATGAAACGAGAGCTTCAACCGAGGTTCAAATGTTACGCGATTTACAAAAGATTGCTTCTTTAGGAGGCGACCTTGAATACAAAGATCATCAAGGTGCCACGCCTGTATGTATACGTCTTTATATAGATCTGTTAATTTGAAAAAAGGCAAATTAATAAATTATATATTATTATACCGATATTTTTATTACAGCTTCATATAGCAGCGGCAAATGGGTACTTAAGAGTCGTAGAATTTCTTCTTGATCAGCATGTATCAACAGATGTGGAGGACAACGATAAGTGGCAGCCAGTTCATGCAGCTGCATGTTGGGGACATGTAAGTTTAAATCTTTCTATTTATGTAACTATATAAATAATGAGATTGTTATAAATATAAGATTGAAATAGTAAATCTATTTTCCCAAATCTTTTTTATGCAACGGTTATAATTTTTTGAACGTTTTGACATTTAAATGTCATCTTATATGCAATTTTTTGTTACAGTTGGAAGTACTTGAATTATTGGTGCAAAATGGAGCAGATTTAAATGCAAAGAATAAGCACGACGAAACTCCCGCGGGTAAGACCTATCTTATCTATTTCGATTATTGCTTAATTTCTCTGTATTTTAATATTTTAATGCGTTACAGATATATGTGAAGATCCGGAAATTAGAGAGAGAATAGTAGAATTGAAAACAGAACAAGAGAGTAAACGACTTCGTGAAGCACAAGGACGTAGGGTACGCAGATCACAAAGTATTAACACACGAACACAAAGCGTACGTCGGACATCTATTCGAGACAAAGTCCTTACTACGAAAAAGGATGCCCAGGAAGAAGCTCGTTTGAGGTTACAAGCACAACAGGTACAAAAATTTGGAAAAGTGTATCTTACATATTTTCCCTAAGAAATATATAAGATCTACTCTTTTAAGATGAAAGGAATATTAATTTATGCAGGATATTTTTTCTAGACGTATGTTAGCACTCCTACAACTAATATACCGCCGTTGGAGAACAGTACACAGGAAGTAGGGGACCACGAGACTGATTCCAGCGCGCTAACTTCAGCAGTGCGCAAAAGTCCCGAAGGAAAAGACAACGAGTCTTTTCTTCACGAAGATGTTGATAAAGATTCAGGTACATTCCAAATGTATTCTTGCTTGCATTGGTTGTGGTTCGGTAGACTATTGTGGTAAATGGTAGCTTTGTGCGAAGAGACTTCCAAAAATATGTACCTCGATCATGTGATTCAAGAATTGCACATTATACTTGTACGCATTATACGTGTACATCATACTCATTTATTAATCATAGTGCCAAAAACATAGGAAAATTTACGCGAGCATGAAACTTGAAGATTTTATATAAATTCTATACATATGTGCCATATCACTCACTAAAAATAATAGAAAATTATTGCGGCGAAAGAAGAGAAGATAATTGACATTATTATATAAAATGATTATATAATCATACTGAGAGTATGCGGATAGTTTCTTGTTAAGTCTGACAAAAGCACTTCTTTATATATTTATATAATAAATAAAATTTTATATATATATAATATATACATTAATAGAAAGTAATATGGAATAATCCTAATGGATCAAATATATATAAATTATATACTACGTAATCTGCTAATTGCAAAATCCCATAAATGTATTTTGTCAAATTCATTGTGTTAGCTGTCGATTATTTACCAGCTTTTTCTTTTTTTTCACTACTGCGTGTTCCTGAATAATTGCGAGGTTAGTTTTCTACGTCACTTTTCTATTTCTTTAATTATTATGATCTATACAATGCATTTAATTATGTTATCTTTTTCGTTTCATACATATCACACTATGTCAAAAGTTATTTGCTCACGGTGTACGTAAAATGTATATCTATGTGTGCTGCATACACGATACATTTTTTTCTCTGGAAGTTGTTCTCATGTTAAAACGCACACATACATGTACACATTTCGCTTTACATTCATATCGAATCTCTTTGGCGCAGGCCTAAGTATGTACTGGCTTCCTTAGCGTATCTTTGTGGACCGTTTTAGCAAAGCTTAGCGGCCACTGAACGCAAGAATAATAATCAAACGGATTGTGGTATAATATTTATTATAGGTATGTCGAATTGTTTCTGTAATTTTTTACATAAACTGGAGCCTAATCGATTTAGATAACCGTATATATTATGCTAGTAGGACGCACAATAAGTAGTAGAATCGACAGATACTTATATTATTCTACATTCTTTATACATATTGTACCATGCGCAGGTTTCTTCTAGAATGAAAATATAGAACGATTCTTGATTATCAGTTCTCATGATCATAAAAGCTATATAGAGAGATTACACAAAACATGAAAAAGATATTAATATGATGTAATTAAGAATCGCCCTATATATTTAGATGACTTTTTGGTAAATATTTTACCAAATACGGAGTCGAATAATACGCCCGTAATATAATATGGGCGGATTTTGAGCCTAAAGCATGATCTAAGATTGATCTAAGATTGATCGCAGCTCTACGAATTTTATGTATACCTGTCGTCAAGTTTTACACAATTCGTATTAAAAATTGATAATGAATTCTCTACTAATCGATAAATACTTTGCATCTATTGTATTATGTGGCGGAGTAAGTAATGAGGGATCACAACACACTCCTCTTATTATTGAAGTAGTCAATTCGAAAAGTATATAAAAAGAAAAACATATCAGATATAACAAAGACAAGCCATTGGTGGACATATTACCAACGGATCTTTATGCTTACGTTTTTCTAGACGATAACAATCGATAACAATGCTCTAGATGAAACATAAAAATATCATACCGTATTTCATTCACTAGTATTTACAATCGATAACAAGTATAGTTAGATCAGTCATTCGTAGATCCAAATGTTGAAAAGAAATTCATTGTAGTAAAATGCGAAGACGTACAGATATATCATAATTGTTAAACACTGCTCTTGTTCTTTGTAACAGCCGTGTTTGTCATATTCTTCCTCTTTCTCTGTCTTTATCTCTTTCTCTTTCGTATTCATTGATTTTGCTTGCGTAAGACGCAACCATTGAATCGTTTAGTAACAATACTGTATACGTACACACAGATGTGCATATGATGATCCTTCTTGGTGCAATGTTTCCGAAACGCTTGTTGCTGAAAGCATGTTAGGCTTAGCGCATGAAACTCATAGTTGACACCCTTGGTTTTTCTCCTCCCCCCTTTTTTTTTTAATTGTAATCAGTGCGCATAGGGATAGAAAATGGGGTTGAGGTGGAGGGGCGAAAAAATGGCGATCGCGTCGATCGAAAAGTCGGCACGCTTGACGAGGAAGTAGCACATTGGATTTACGTGTTTGCCTGACAGCAGTGACAGGATCTGACCCACTGGTCGGCAGCCAGCAGCAGTCGCCGATTTACTCTACGGACGCTGACACCAATGGCAAGATCAACATACACGTATCCGTTGTTTTCGTGAAATCCTTGTCGGATCTGAAGAAGAAACGGGCACAAAATCGGCATATATCTGGCGGCTCCGTAGACGCGAACGGGAACGGCATCCCGATGCCGGTCTCATCCATCTCCAATTCCGATCTCAGCACTGATGATTACACCCAGCGCTTCACTGGGAACACCAGTGAGATCGTGAGCGATAATCACTCGGAGAAGAGCTGCTGCACTGTCATGTAACGCGCTAATTATGTAATTTCGTTTTCCTTGTCCTTGCCCACTGTTGTCTACGATGTCATCGGAACTCACTGAAATCTTTCACACACGAACATATTCCCGCGATTATCTTCCAGTATTTTTTTGAAGACTCAACGCTGCGTTCTTGTACATAATTGTTCGAGTTGCGCGTTTAAATCCGAGCCCGAGGGTCGTGATATTTTTTATTTAGATATATATATTTTCGTAGAACATATAGTTCGTAGAACATTATGTACATCACAAATAATATCCGCGGGAAAGCGTACTGACAGCGTTAAAATCAAAACACAACTGTCGGTTTTGATGTCGCGCGATCACGTGTACTTAATCGCGACGAAACGTTTTTCTACGATTGTTACGAATTGAATCACAGCGCTTGAACAAGCTCGGTATCAAGAACACCTTGTTACGATGACTAGAACGTGTACTTACATTGTAGAAATATAATTGCATTTTCAAATTATTTACAATTATCCAGCGCCTAAAGCGTTCAAGTATTGTACAGACTTTTACTTTATTTATTGTTATATTAAAGAAAATGTATAGACTATACTAGAAAGATAAGAGATGAGTGTCACAATTCGTAGATATTACCACATAGATTCGAATTTTTCTAGTATCTTCGCAGACAGGTATAAGACTATCAAACATCTTCCAATATTTTTTATGAGACTCTAGGCTGTAAGGATTGAGTAGAAACTGTTTTTTATATCGATTTAAATATTATTTGTAAATTTTGATATGTAATATTTATCTGTCTATTACAACTTTAGATCCTTCACTTGAATTCCTTGTTCCATACATAGCAATCGCTGTATATTGCTGAGATTTACAATTTTGCATCTGTGTTGCGTCTTTGGCAACGCGTAAGACGTTCGATTTTAATTCGATAATGCGTGTTGGAAATATTCAAGATACAAATATGTAAACTTTACTTCTTTTTTTTTTTTAATAAAGTTTATGCATCCCCGTGTGACGAGAGAGAAATTTAGTAAATCAAAACACTAAAAAATTTTATTCGAAATCACGCATATGTACGGGACCGTATGTGAAACAATAATCTCCTGTCGAACGGTCGTACTTTTTGTACACTTTTATGTTAAACCGCATCCAAATTAGAAATATAAAAAGGATCTTTGAAGGAAGTAAATAGTACAAATAAAAGCTCATACATTCCTTCCGTGATGCATAATAAACGTTGCCAAACTTTGTGCGGCTTCCGGCCTTACGATGACTGACTCGTTTCGCATTTTGTAATTGCGTTAATCATGAAATTAATTCTAATAATAATCGTCGTTGATTATTCCAATTAACAGTACGTGCGATTGTTCATGCATGATTTGATTGAGAATGTCTATGGCGAAAGTTGATTTCAATGGCTGTATTTGAAATGAATTTATGTGACGTCTATCACCTGTTTATATTGTATTGTAATATAGTAAAATTATATAAAAATAAAATTACTGTATACGTTATCTTTTATATTTTATACACTTAACATATCTTATATAATCCGCAAAAATAATTTATTAAATAATTTATTTTCATAAACTCAATTTGAAAATTCTAATGCTTTCCCAAGAGAAATTGCATACATATTAGATGTGTGAAAAAGTTCGTGGCGTTTTTCCCGTTAGATGGCATTAAAAAAACGCCACGAACTTTTTCTCATATCTAATATATCATATAAATATTGACTTCTTAGTATTTTGATTATGTGATTTAGAAAGCGCGAATTAGAAAGGCAACAAGCTGTTCAGTATAAAACTGATAAACCATTTGCGAGTTTATTTAATATTTATTTATTACGATTATTCGCACACACACAAATTTTACTGAAATCTATTTCTATCGCGCATACGACAATTTGTATTTATATTAAAGAGGAAATTTAAATATATATATAT